GAGTTATCTTGACTGGCCCTAGTGCTTTTCCTGGCTTTTGTCTGTGAAATAGATCTTGCTCTTCTTTTTCTGTGATCACCAGGGGTTGTGAACCCAATGGGTTGGGGTCAGTTACAGGAGGCTTGGCTGTTGTTGGTGTGTCTGAGATGGGGTATTGGAGATAGGTGACTGTAGTTTCCTTTCAAACCTGCAGTAAACACATTCAGGTCATCTGCTAGTTTTTGATTTCCTTCTGCCTGGGAAGAAGGTTTGCTTTAGCCTGTGATGGTTTAAAGAGTTTTCCACGTGTTTACTGGTTCATTTGTTGAGAACCGATTCCTTAACTTTTCAGAGTAGCTTCTTTTTGCTGCGCTGATCTCTCTTGTTAATATGTTTCTGGCCTGATTGTACAGCATTCTGTCACCTTTTCTGCTTAAGTTTAGCTGTGAACCAAGGTTTATTGTTACTGTATATTTGCAGGTTCCCGGTCGAAACACATGTCTTCACAGAAGGTGACATATGATGTTACAGTATCTGTGAGCTCATCTACATCTGCAGAGGTATCTTCGAAAACATTCCAATCATTGCAATCAAGGCAAGCCTGTAGCTTTAGATTTGCCTCCTCAGTCGAAGTCCTCACTGATTTAATTGTTGGTTTCATGGTTTTAAGTCTTTGTTTGTAAGGAGATACAAGGCGAATCATGCAGTGATCAGAGTGTCCCACAGCTGCTCGTGGTAATGACCTATAAGCATCTTTTAGTGTTGTGTAGTGATGGGCTAAAGTACTTTTGCCTCTTGACATGCTGGAAATACTTTGGAAGCTCTTTCCTTAAATTTGCTTGATTGAAATCTAAAATGATGGAAAGGGAATCTGGGTGTTTGGCTTCAGCCTCCATAATCTGGTCAGCTAGAGTTTGTAATGCCTTGTTTACACAAGCTTGTGGAGGAACATACACAGCTATTAGTAGAAATGAAGAGAACGCTCATGAAGAATAAAATGGTTTGCAGTTGATATGTAAAGGCTCTAGGTTTTTATCACAGAATTTATATATTATAGTTATAGCCTGAGACCAGCTGTTGTTGATATATAAACATAAGCCTCCACCTTTCTTTATACCAGATGTGTTTGCAATCCTGTCTGCTCTAAATATCTGAAATCCTGGGATATTTATGCTGCGGTCATCAATTTCCTCATGTAGTCAGGATTCAGTGAAGCAGAGAGCTGCTTGTAGAAATCAGAATTGCATCTATTTAAAAGGAGTATTTCATCCATCTTATTAGCAAGTAAGCATAGTCAGAAAGCTTGGAGAGGGGTTTCCCCCCCTTTCCTTAGTCTATTCAAAATTCCCGCTCTTTTACCTCATCTTCTTTTCCGCCGCTTCTTTCCTTTGTTTGTTGTAATCCAGGGGGAATTTGTTTCCTCTTGTGTTAGAATCTCTTCAGCATTTGCAAAGACAGGGTGGGACACAGAAAGCTGCTCCTTAAAGAAACATTGCCTAATTCTTAGCAGATGGTCTTGTGAGAATGAAATTCATAGTGAATCACAGAGAATAATAAAAAATAGATAAAACAATAGAGAGCATTTACCCAGGCAGTTGTTGGTGGCGCCATCTTGACAGTAAGGGAGTAATGAAGGGAGAATGCATCTCACAATAGTACAACTTTGTTCCAATTATTCAAATTCAGGGAGAAACAAACTCTGATTACTACTAAGTTATAGCTGTAATTTCATACAATCCATAGGTCTATTTATACACAGATACAATTAGGTTGTGCAGCGCTTCAAATTCCATCTAGAAATGGTGCTTTGGTGAGCTCAGGAGCTTGATATACCAGTTCTCAATAATTTAGATCAGTGTTTCTCTACTCTAGCAACTTTAAAATATGTTGATTTCAATTTCCCCAGCCAGAATCTGGGAGTTAAAGTCCACATATGTTAAGGATGCAATGATACTTTTTCCTGTAAGTCCAGCTATCTGTAAATAGCTGTCAATAACCACATAATGATACAAAAGAATCAAAAAATGTTTTAAATAATTGCATGCAAGTCTTAAATTCATTCACTTATGCCATCTATAATATACTTTTCAGCTTGAACTTGACATAATGGGACAGTCCTAAATAATTAGAAACTATTTATACAATAACTTAGAGATTTTTCTTCAATTTTGTTTCCCTCAGTCTGTGGATATGATCTGTTGTCATACAATGCGTCTTACTAACATCCATTTATAGATGTACAGGTAACCAAAGTGCAAAAATTAACATCAATTATTTGCCTCTTCCCACTCATACATAAATAAAGCATCTTGTCCGGTGTACTTGTCAACATTTTATTTAATGATACCAGAATGTATTGCATTTGATAGAACATGGTATTGGTGTTAATAGCATAGAAAACCCATATAATTGTACATCTTATAAAACTATTTAAAAAGGAGTGCTGTAAAATGGTCCCTTTCTATAATTACACGCCCCGCTATCTTGTGGAATATGCTTATACATTTTCTATTAATGTCATGGTAAAGGTCTTATGTTCCCTTCTTTAGTAACTTTTTATCCTAATTTGTTTATTATTTAACTTAATATATTTTATTGACAAAGCCAATATTGGAGAGTAAATTGAAAATCACTTCAAAATACTTGAGTTAGGTGGACGGATCATGTTAAGTTACCCAGGTGCAATCAACAGCTTCATGCACATATATATAATTCATTTTTATTTCTTTTTTCCTAAAATATTTAAAAGACAAACACATATTTTAAATATCCAATGCAAAGCTGAACAATTGATCAACAGCTTCATACAGTAGAAGCATGACTGATGCAACATTTATTGCATGGGTCATTCTTCTTTGCAGTGGAAAAACAGAGCTTCATTGACATCCATCCTATATTCACGTAATTTTGTTGAATTTACTGACAAAAAAAAAAATTAATTTCCCTGCTGCCATTTTGTTCCAGTGTTTAAATCTTGTGATTTATTGCTTTTGTTAAAATAGAGCAGCCCAACACCATAGTTCTAATCTTTAAGAGTTCTAATTCTTCTCTACAATTAAAGACAGAAGACTCTCAAAGCATTTGCTAATACAAGTGAAACTCAAAAAATTAGAATATCGTGCAAAAGTTCATTTATTTCAGTAATGCAACTTAAAAGGTGAAACTAATATATGAGATAGACTCATTACATGCAAAGCAAGATAGTTCAAGCCGTGATGTGTCATAATTGCGATGATTATGGCTTACAGCTCATGAAAACCCCAAATCCACAATCTCAGAAAATTAGAATATTACATGCAATCAATAAAGCAAGGATTGTACATAGAACAATATCAGACCTCTGAAAAGTATACGCATGCATATGTACTCAGTACTTGGTTTGGGCCCCTTTTGCAGCAATTGCTGCTTCAATGCGACGTGGCATGGAAGCTATCAGCCTGTGGCACTGCTGAGGTATTATGGAAGACCAGGATGCTTCAATAGCGGCCTTCAGCTCTTCTGCATTGTTCAGTCTCATGTCTCTCATCTTTCTCTTGGCAATGCCCCATAGATTCTCTATGGGGTTCAGGTCAGGCGAATTTACTGGCCAATCAAGCACAGTAATCCCATGGTCATTGAACCAGGTTCTGGTGCTTTTGGCAGTGTGGGCAGGTGCCAAGTCCTGCTTGAAAATGAAGTCAGCATCCGCATAAAGCTCGTCTACAGAAGGAAGCATGAAGTGCTCCAAAATCTCCTGGTAGATGGCTGTGTTGACCCTGGACTTAATGAAGCACAGTGGACCAACACCAGCAGATGACATGGCTCCCCAAATCAACACAGACTGTGGAAACTTCACACTGGACTTCAAGCATCTTGCAGTGTGTGCCTCTCCATTCTTCCTCCAGACTTTGGGTCCTTGGTTTCCAAATGAGATGCAAAAGTTGCTCTCATCAGAAAAGAGGACTTTGGACCACTGAGCAACAGACCAGTTCTGTTTTTCTTTAGCCCAGGTAAGATGCTTCTGACGTTTGTTGTTCAGGAGCAGCTTGACCAAGAGGAATATGACATTTGAAGCCCATGTCCAGGTTCTGTCTGTGTGTGGTGGCTCTTGATGCACTGACTCCAGCCTCACTCCACTCCTTGTTAAAGTCCCCAACACCTTTGAATGGCCTTTTCCTGAAAATCCTCTCCAGGCTGCGGTCATCCCTGCTGCTTGTGCACCTTTCTCTTCCACACTTTTCCCTTTCACATAACTTTCTATTAATGTGCTTTAATACAGCATTTTGGGAACACCCAACTTCTTTTGCAATTACCTTTTGAGGCTTTCCCTCCTTATGGAGGGTATCAAGGATGGTTTTCTGCACAACTGTCAGGTCAGCGGTCTTTCCCATGATTGTGATTCCTAGTGAACCAGATTGAGAAACCATTTAAAGGCTCAGGAACCCTTTGCAGGTGTTATGGCTTAATTAGCTGATTAGTGTGGGACACTTTGAGCCTAGAATATTGAACCTTTTCACAATATTCTAATTTTCTGAGATTGTGGATTTGGGGTTTTCATGAGCTGTAAACCATACTCATCTCAATTATGACAAATCACAGCTTGAACTATCTTGCTTTGCATGTAATGAGTCTATCTCATATATTAGTTTCACCTTTTAAGTTGCATTACTGAAATAAACGAATTTTTGCACGATATTCTAATTTTTCGAGTTTCACCTGTATAGTCATTATCTAAGCAGTAGTGTTAATAACCCTATTTTATTTTGCTGTGGAGGTGGCAACACAAGCAGAATGGGAATACTTCCAGAAAGCTAGGAGCTGCCTAAATGCACTTTAAAATGATAACACTTTATCATTTAGGAAAAAGGGAAGTAAAAGTTAATTAATTACCAGTATAATTCAATTCTTAAGTAAGCATAAGATTTTAATGCCAATGCACCAAATACGGATTTTTTTTAAAATCCAGATTTCCAAATAATTTATCTTCTTTTTTTCAGAATTTATTCCCATTAACTGTTAATATAGCATACCACCAGAATGTAACAATCCAGGGCAAAAGGCATGATTTTAATGCAAGTTTGTATCTTTGTATCAAAACTTCAAAAATGTGGGTTGAACAATGGAGTCTTTTGGTGCTCTCTGAGCTTGTTAGCAGACATTTCATTGCCCAACTAGATAACATTAGTACTAGTCTGTGGAGGGAAGGTTTTGCTCTCTATTTATATACTGTAACTTGCCCTGTATTTCCCTGTATCTCCATTACTGGCAGGGAAAGCTACTGCATATAATCAGGGAACAACTCCCGCCTCCAACATTAATGATGTTACCTAGTGGAAATGATGCTACCTACTAAAATATCTGCAAGCAAAGATGTTTAAAGAGCAGCCAGGATCCCATTGTCCTGCTTCCTGTGTAAATAATTTTGCATGTAGTGTACACTTATTTGCCTGTGTGGTCTCTCAGTAGACCTTGATGATCTATGTGTTTTCTACTTCAACTATAAATCACAATGGCTAATCTAAAGTTGTAAGACAGTACAATAAGAAAATTGGCAAGCACAAGTATTGCAGGCAAAAATGTGCCAAAAATGCCATGAAATCAAAGAAATTGCAATGTAGAAAATGTCCTGAACAAATAAAAACCATTTACATAAAACTATTAAGAAAAGGAAAGTGATGAAGCTCCATTAACTCAGAAAATCTGATGTCAGGTTTTACCACATAGCTTTGTTTCTCAAATAATGTTCAAGCTTAGGACATTTTCTTCACCTCAAATCATGCAGTCCAAATATTATAAATATTGAAAAAAATACACACATGTGAATCATATTAATTTGCTTTTGAAAATGTTCTATCTTTTTTCCAGAACATTCACATCTCTGAAAAAAGCTGAATATATCACTATGGTGGGATGTATATTTTAAAAAATAATTAAAATGCATTTTAAGGCACCTTGCATTTTTAATATAAACGTCATAACAAAAAAAATCTTAATTTTATACCCTGTTGTATCTTAATTAACACAAGGACATATTCATTTCCACATTATTATTTTTTTAAAGTATGCACGGGGATTTCAGATTATTTCTATGATATATGCACACTAACAGCAGTTCGGCTCATAAAAGTTTTTAAATTCAGCTAAGTTACAGTTCATCATGTCCCTGTGGCTCCTGGTCTTTCAGTCTGAATTCTTCAGAAGTAATCTTGCCATCTCCATTTCGGTCCTGATTGTTGAACATATTTTTCACAATTGTTTCAGAATTGTAACCAGGGGCTAGCTTTCCTTTACCAGAATTGACTTGATCATGGATATATTTATTGAACTAGAGTTTAAAAGATAAATAAGAATAGGAAATAAAATGAGTTTCAGTATTGTAATTTAAAAGCTACATATATCACAATGCATTTCCATAACTTCTGCATTTAGTACTAAGACACTGTAATAATGCTGGTTTAGTCATGTAAATTCATTTATCATATTTAGGGGCATACAACATGATGTATTATAATTATACATTATACTATACTAATACTATAAAACAAAATCTATATTGTAGTTTGAAAAGATTAAAAAACCTGCACAGAACATGGTATACCTAACATTTTGTTGCTACCTGTTGTGGCCTGACAGCAGCCAGCAGAGCTGGCAGCAGATTCAGACGGTGAGGAGGTTGGGGAGGAACATGGGCCAGTCCTGGAGTCTGGGGAAGGCTCTGACGAGTGCTCTGCATCAGAGACAGAGAGGGGGCCAGGGCTGTCTGACAATTATCAGCTGCCTTCAGAGTCAGACATCAGTGAGGCAGAAGCCTGTTCCCAGTGTACACATGTGCAGAGTTGCCAGATGAAGGGAACAGCTGAGGAACAAGGGCCGACTTGGAAGTAAAGCTACAGGTGGACAGTGAATGGCCCCTCCCCTAGAGAATAAAAGGGGAGTGAGGCTTTGCAGAAGACAATTAGTTCCTTCCGGCATGCTTGTGAAATATTGCGGCATCTGAAAGATATTGGCCTGGCCACGCTCCAAGCTTGATAAAGGTTTGTATTTGGAAACTATCTTGAAAGACTGTTGGCTGGGACTTTGTTGGAGAGGAAATTTATTGTAAATCAAATAGAGAAGGTTTAACAGGACAAGAACTCGTTTTTGTGCTATTGGTGAAACCTAGGTCAGAACAATACCCATCAAAGAAAATCCTTATAAACCAAAATAACTTCTTACTTCTTCTAGAAGAACTTCTCCATTGTTATCCTTGTCTATTTCTTCAAAGAGGTTTGGTGATACTTCATCATTCCACACAAACATATAGCCTTCTGGTAAACCAGATACTAAATCAAGCAGCTCGATGTCAAACAGTAATACAGCACTTCCTGGAACTTCTCCTTCTGCAACATTAAATGACAAAAATTAAATCTGAATATTTGCTTTTTGGGAATGTTTTTGTTTTGCTCTATATTTTCAGTGGAAGTAGTTAATTTTCCAACCAAGTAATTTTTAAAAATTTCCTGCCAAGTAATTCAATGATGTCACTGGGAAGCAGATCTGAAAATGATTTTGAGGGTTTCATAGATAATGAACATGAAAAATAAGTTTTCCAAAAGCTTCATGAAAGGGAAATGATCAAGGATGATGATATGGATGTTGCTATCCCTAATGCAGAGAGGTTGGGAGTGGGGGACAGAAATTCACCCGTAGCAAAATAAGCAAGTTGTGCTATAGATATTATTTCAGCAAAGAATGATAGAATGCAAAAATTAGATCTATTGAGTGAATAATGGATGTTATTATTATTTTCTTTCTAAAGAAAATTATGTGATTATTTTTAGGCTTAAGTCTTAATGCAAAATCATTTGTTCACAGACAATGCTTATCTTGTTGCTTTATGACATGAACTATATAGCTCAACATTCTAAGGCGGGGTCGCCAACCTTTTGGACCTCAGGGACCACCAAACTCATAATTTTAAATCCCAGGGACCACTAACTGGTTCTGTGGGCATGGCCTAATTTGTGGGTGTGGGTTGGTGGTTGTGTGACTGGCTGGGCATGGCTTGTATGTAAATATTATAAATATTTATATAAATATTGATTTTTTTAATAAAAAAAACAACTTTTACCCAAAATCAGGCAAAGCAGGTAGGCAGATTGAGTTGCTCACAGAATCATTCAATGATCTATCTATCTGCCATCGGCTACCTGAGCCTGTCATATAAAATTTGCTTGTCATGAGTCTGCACTGAATAATAGAACCTTCAGTCCTAAGGGAGGTTCGGCTGTGCTTAAAGGCAGAGTTGAAGATCTAAAGACTAGCTAGAAAGCAAGAAATCCAACAATTTCCTGCTTCCTAGCTAATCTAAATCTCCCAGCACATCAGAACAGGTGATGGTCGGAAAAAGGAAAAATAGCAACTTAACAGGCAAGTTTGCCAGGTAAGGGGTGAGTGGGCGGGAAAGATTCCCGCTGGCCATGTGGGCAGCACAGCCTTTCGTTTCCACACAGCCTGGATTAATTGCTTTGGGGGAATGCTCTGGGGGTGAGATTTCTCTGCGGCCCGCCAAAATTTTCTTGTGGCCCATCAGTGGGCCACGGCCAACCAGTTGGCAATGGCTGTTCTAAAGGATTCATCACATAAAATGCATAAGGCAATTCTACTGGTGGACAATATAATTTCTATGCTAATTTTTAAGTTAAATTGAAGTTCAAATCTTATTTAATGAGTAAGCTTCAACATTATTTGTTATACAGGTCCAAATAATTTTGTTGTATCATCAATTCATTTCAATTTATTCCACTGAGAGCAGAAGATAGGAAATGAATCATGTTGGAACTGCCTGTGGATCTTTAAGTATAATTTCACAAAGTACATATAGAAGCAACTATACACCACTGCAGGTGAATTCAGAAGAAATTTGCGTCAACTCACATTACTTTCTTCCCTTCAGTACACTTGAGTATTTAAAGGACTTTGAAAGTTATATACTCACCAACTCCAGCTTCTCCATAACCAAAGTGAGGGGGAATAACAACTGTTCTTTTTTCTCCCACACACATCTCTCTAAGACCTATATCCATCCCCAGCACAACTTGTCCAGAACCTAGAACTATATTATATGTTTTTCCAAGGCTAACCCTGAAAAACAAAAACATTCACAAAAATAGTTAGCAACTCATCCAGCGTTCTAGCTTTTTTCTACTCTTTCTATTTACATGCAATGAACATTACTGATAGCCTGTTTCTAAGAAATTCAATGTAAAATTAGTTATATAGAAATCTAATAATCTAAGAGTTCACAAGTTCTTCAGGTGTCCTTAACATTTTGAGGCTAAGATTTAGATTGAAATGGAAAACTTATCACATTTGTACAATGTGAAACACAAAACTATTGCAGAACTTCATTTTACAAGAACATTCTATGTTCTTATAAAATGTAAAACTTTATTTTACAGGAACATCACTCCTCAGCATGTTTTCCTCTATTCCTACATTTTACCATACTTTATCGTAGCATACTGGCACAGAACAATACGTAGCACTGGACTGCAACTATCTATCATTTTTATCTTCTAAGAAAACATAAGAACAGTTGAAGCACAGAGTCTTTTTTGAAAATGAAGAAAATGGAAATATTTTGCTTTGTAGCATGTCAGCTTTTCCTTTTTTTTTTTTTTTTGTAAATTTTATTTGAGTTTTCTCAAAAAGAAAAGAAATACAAATAAAACATCTTTTTTGAAAGCAGCTTAATCCTGGGTTACATTTCTTCATACAGACACAAATTCAGGTTCATGCTCATTTTTATATTCTATTCCATATCTTATTACTATTTTACATTTTCTACATAGCTTCTCCCCTCTTTTAATTTTCTCAATTTTATTTTATTTATTTCATCTCAATTCTAAATCATTGTACTCATATTTTTTGTCTGTCCTGTTTCAATTGTCTATTATCTTTTCTCATTAAACAAAATTTCTCCTGTAGTTACTGATTGGAGTATGACACCTTTATATCTTTTCCCTAAAGTTATAACACTCAATATAATACATAACTTCCATTCGGATTCTGCTTGGTACATTCTTAAACTACATTCTTAAATTCTTGAAAAAAAAAAGAAAAAAATTATAAATGTATATAATTAAAACAACATTCCATTCCAATTCAATTCTATCATTAATATTAATATTCATTAAAGTCTTAACATTTTTCATGTTACTTTTCAATTAAATATCATACTTCTATGGGAACAATTATAAACTTTCCATAGTTAATTCCCCCACTCCTCTTCACTTATATTTTATAAAACATTGACTAATTAAAATGTTCCCGTTCCTTCCTAATTCAATTTTCTCATTTATTTTGTCATTTATTTTATTCACAAATATTTTACTAAATTACACTATTTTATCCCTCATTCTAATCATATGTTGTTTCCAATTTTCTAAAGTTATTTCTATTACTAATATAACAATACAATCTTATGTACCTTTACAGAATCCCTTTTTCAGTTAGATTTTTACCCAGTATCTCTAAATAGGTCCTGTTTCTTTATATCTTGCTACGGACGTTTGTAACTTCTTTTCATTTCCTTCTTCTCTCTCCCCTTTTTACCCCTTTGTCTCTCTACCTCTATTTCCCTCTTCTGTATTCCCCTTTTCTGTTGCTTTCCAGTATTATACTTATTTTTTGAATTATTTTTCTTTTCTTTCATTGTTTTTTTAAGTCTTAAATTCTCCATTCTCTTTCCCCCCTTTCCTTTTTCTTCCCCACATAAAATTGCTTGTTCATTAAAGATGGCTTCTTCTTTGTCCCAGTCTTCCTGTTTGCAGTCTTTTCTTGTTGTTTCTCATAGTTCCAAATCTCCATTTCTAAGAATTGAAAAATGAAGCCAAAAGAACCCTTCCCTTCTTGTGCATCTTCTTTGTACTTTTTAAGTTCCATTTTCAATTCATCCAGAAGTGGTGCCACTGTATAAATTTTTAAACAACCCCCCGATTGATTTTAGTCATTCAAATATAATAACCAAAAATCCAAAGATCACCAAATAATCCAAATACACACAAGCTGTTTCTTTTTTGGTCTTTTTTTTCACTTTCTCTTCCTGGGGTTACTATTTAGTTGCAAAGTTTCAGTTAAAATGTATCTTTTAGAAGTCTTATTGAAATTTTACTTTAGATTCTTTTAAAGTCCAGGCAGTCTCCTCCCTCTTCCAGATCCTGCCCTTATTCTTTTTCTCTCCCTTCCTGCTTATAGAAGAAAAAGTTTTTAATGTCCAGAAATTTTTATTGTCCCTTTGGCATTTAGTTATATTTTCAGCTTAATTGCCTATTGATGCCAAAGCAGATTTTTCCGATTTCTTATTTAGGTCTCTTAGTTGTCTATATAAGGAAGAAGAGAGAAGAAGAAAAAAGCCAAACTTTTCCCTTTTCCCTTTCTTTTGCTGCTTCCGACTCTTCTTTGGGAGCGATGTTATTTTTTATAAAATTTAAATTCCAGAATACCTTAGTTGTTGCTTTTTCAACTTAACCCAGTCAGCCAAAACTTTCACTTCTTATCTTCCTCCTGCACATTCTTTTCTGGTTGAGTTCTTCTTTGAGGTGGCTATTTCTGACCACCGCTCCTACCGCCTTCGGGAAAGGGAGTAATAGCCAGCTGAGGAGGAGAGATGCGGCTCTTCTCAACCCTGCTGGTGGTCTCCCCCCTTTTCACCACCTCTACGGGGTGGCTTAGCTCTGGAACCACCTCGCTCGGGGCGCTCCAGTGGCGAGCCTAGACAGAAACCGCACACGATCGCGGATTCCTGTCTATCGCCGAAGCCCTTCAAACCGGAAGCCTCAGCTTTTCATTTTTGATTAGCATGCAACATATTATATTATTCTACTATCTCTTACAACAGGGGTCTCCCCAACCTGTGGGCCGTGGCCTATTCTCAACCGGACTAATGCAAGCAGCACCCCAAAGGCTTCTCTCTTGCATGAGTGCAGCTGTGTGTGCACATGTGCTAGCTCACCCTCTCCCCCACCAGCTGGGCTGCCAAGCCACCTGCTCCTGGTGCTGCAAAAGCAGTGCAGTGAGAGCAGAGGCTGAGTGGAGGAATGTGCCTTGCTCAGCTTCGCTGACTCACCAAGGTTGCCCGAACAGAACTCCTAATCTACTTTTGGAGTGTTGGGTAGCCTCAGTGAGTCTGAAGACCATGCACCCAAAGGCTTCTTCATGCCAAAAGCTTTTGCAAACAGATGAAAGGTTTTGGGGGAGTAATCTCCTGCTGCTTCAGGCCTTCCATCCCTTTGTAAAAGCTTTTGGCATGGAGAAGCCCGAAGGAGCCAAGACCTTGTCCCAAAGGCTTATCTTCTCTCTTGTATGAGTGGAGCTAAACATGCACACGCTCCAGACCATCACTCACACAGCCTGATTCCCCTCTCAACCAGTATACCAAGCTGCAAATATTGGGTATCATTCTCTTATAACATTAGGCAACAGAGTAATCAACAGTAGAGACTTCAAGTATCTTGGTTCTATAGTCTCCCAGGATTTGAAATGGACACCTAATTTTAGAACCATCATTAAAAAGGCATCATTTCCTACACCAACTCAGAAAGCTCAGACTACCCAAGGAGTTGCTGATTCAGTTCTACAGAGGAATTATTGAGCCTGTCATTTGTACTTCCATAACTGTCTGATTTGGCACAGAAATCAAACAGGACAAATACAGATTTCAACAGATAATTAGGTCTGGAGAAAAAAATATTGAACCAGCTTACCATTCATACTGTACAGGTCAGAAGAAGTGCCAAGAAAGTATCTATAAACCCCTCCTGGACATAAACTGTTTCAACTCCTCCCCTCAGGATACCATTATAGGGCATTGCATGCTAAAACAACTAGACACAAAGATAGTTTTCCCCCTTACTCTGCCAAACACATAATTCCCATAGCACTGTCTTATGTCTAAGGATATCTAAACATGCACTATGGCCATATTGCTATTATCCATCTCATCTTTCTTATTACTTTCTCCTATTGGTATCTTATGATTTATGACTTTGTTGTTTGTATCTTATGATTTATGATTTATCACTTTGATGTTTGTATGTACACTTATGCACCGGAGACAAGCTCCCTGTGTATCCAATCACACTTGGTCAATAAAGAATGTTCTATTCTGTTCTGTTCTACGTTAGGTAAAGTAGGGAACTAGCTGATATGAAACAAAGAATATGAAGGCACCATAATACCACTGGCATCATTAGTGATTAAGGCACCAGGCTAGAAAGTTGGAGACCATAAATTCTACTCCTGCCTTAGTCATGAAAGCCAGCTGGGGAAGCTTGGGCTAGTCACTCTCTTAGCCTAATTCACCCATAAGATTGTTGTTGTGAGGAAAATAAAAGGAAGGGTTTTTTAATACATTTGTCATGTTGAGTTATTTGTAAAATCAATAAAAACAGAATATATGTTTGTTTAATTAATAAATAAATGAGGACTTGGAGATAGAAAAACAATTTCCATTGTTTATTTTCATAATTTATAGACTTTCTGTCTGCATGTAAGATATCACATACTTATTTCAGTTATATTAAAGAATGCAAACAGTTAAATAAAAACGAAATTATGTCTTGAGCCACATCTATTTTTTTTCATGTTTGCAAAATTATTTATGGCCAGATGATATACTTACGTTGAATCTAATAAAGTGCCATCCAGGAGAGAAGCATTGTAATGATACTTCAAGTAATCACCTTTTTTGCTTAGCACTGAACAGTTAGTAGGTTTGTAATAGGTTGTAACAGCAACTGAATCTGAAGGGTTGTGAAAATCTATCACATGAACTTCAAATACCAATACAGCAGATCCTGGAATGTTTCCTATAATAATAAGCAATCACAAAGTAATAGGCTATTCACCTTTCTTCTCTTGCTGATTTTTCACCTTGTAAACAACAAAATCATCTATTGAAAATTGATACTGTGAAAATAAAGGTGTGGTCAAGAGCATCTACAAAGATTATTTTGAATTATGCTAACGTTTGTGCCATTTTATCCTTTTCCAACAGCATAAAATCTATATACTTTTAGAACCATGATATTTGGGGAGATTACCACTATTACTCATTTTGGAAGCATGAATGCACTGAAGAAAAATAAGCAAGCTTAGAAACTTGTATTTTTATTGAGTGAATTTGCAGCTAAAATTGGTGAAAGTGATTAGCTTTCATTGGAAGGGCTTTAGGAAAAATCACTTGGAGTGAGTTTGGATTGCTTCTGCACTTCCAATAGAAAGTATGGATTCTCACTCCTTACATAAAGCAAGTCACTATGCTTTAGCACCAAGTGAATCACCTTAGTCCTTTAATCCTTTTTTCTAATTATGAAGCCACTTTACATACAAATACTTTGAATACCAATGCCTGGATTAGCATTAAGATCCCAACATGTCTTCCCTGTTCTGTTCTTTCCAATTGAGAAAAACATCACATCTTTTGCATGTCTAATATAGGATCTTTTATATTAATATAATGATTTTATCCATTCATTCCAAACCTCCTTTTGTCTCTAGCTAATGTTAAGCGTCAAAACATAATAACAGGATTGTTTCCAGATCCACTTGGAAGGCATCCATTATCTCCAAAGATAGAACTACTGTAAGCATCTGCAAAACCTAAGAAAAAAATATTTACCTAGGGAGCTCAGTAATTATGGTATCTGTTACTAATTCTTTCAATCACATATCTATTTCTGGAGATGTTATAAAAGATGTTCTCCAAGCAAGTATCATTAAATAAGCCACATTCACTGATAACATCCATTGATTCCTATTCTACCATTTGCATTAGCAAAATTCCCTATAAATTTGTTACAATTCTCATATGGAGTTCAGGAATCAGGTGCACTGACTTTATCCCTCTGACTGTGGAAAATGCTTTCACTTTAAAGCATCATACTTTCATATCTGGTATTACTCAACATGCTTAAATATATATTATATATTTAATATATATATACTATATATTTAATATATTCAATATATTAAAATAGTAACTGAGGTGCAGGACATTAGTATTTAATAAAGCACCTGAATAAAACTTATACTCACCTTTTCCCTCTTCTCCATATCCAACATGAGGTGGTATTATTATTCTCCTTTTCTCTCCAACACATGCTCCAAGCAAACCTTCATCTATCCCAGCAATCACATAACCTTTGCCAATGTAGGTGTCATAGGTTTGATTTTGTGAGTAACTACAGAAGATACTTTGCTTTATTATAGTTACCATCAATTGTCCAAATTTATAGTTTACTAAGTATAACAGCAAATATAGACAAAAATATAGATGTAATCTTATACAATTTAATGTATATATATGAATGGAGAAAGACAGAAAGATTCATTTCATTTACACAATACCATCATCCCATCTGTTAACCTACAAAACCTTTTTCAACTAATAGAGCATTTGCTTGTAAAATAGTTTTACTAGAATAACCTCAGCCAGGAGCATATTGAATAGTGATGAGTTGCAGCCACAATACAGCAGCTAAAAAACCCCTTGATTTTCAAAGCCTAAGCATATATTATTATCCTTTAGGATCTTTTTGCCACAATTGTTAAGCAAATTATTGCCGCTGTTAAGTGAATCATATGATCATTAAGCAAATTCAACTTCCCCAATGACTTTGCTTGTGGGAAGCTAGCTGAGGACACAAATCATATGACCCCAGGATGCTGCTACCATTTTAAATACATGTTAAATGTCTAGTAACCAAATTTTGATCACATCTATGGGAATGCTATGATAGTCATAATTACGAGGACCAATTGTAAGTAACTTTTTTCTCAATGCTGTTGTAATCAAATAATTATGAATTGTTGTAAGTTAAGGACTACCTATATAAGAATTAAAAGAAATACTTCCAGGATTTCAAAAAAATCTACCGTAGGAAGTGATTAAAAAAGAATTTCAGTAATTGCTGAATATGAAATGTAAGCCCTATTTATAGTGAAATCAAGATTCAATTTCTATTTTCGCTACACGCAATGGACCAATGCCCCCTTCTTTTGGATGGAAAACTTGGTTTATACCTGACTAGTTTATAGGTCATTGACACATCTAGTATCAAGTTGTTTATTTTTGAATATTGGATAACTAATTCTCACATATATGTGTTGTTTAATACAGCAGTATATACATAAAGAATGTTTGTAGTGGTATTACGCGTGTGTTAGTTAGGAATATAAATGTATATGTTTATATACACATCTGCCATAAGGCTGGCTGAGAATCAGACTGATTTGTAAAAAGTTTGGTACAGATTTTTTGAAGGAAGAAGGAACAGAGAACTAATGTATACAATTGTCTTTGATCAGAAAAAAAGAAATTGCAAAAGAAAATAGCTGTGTACAAGGGAATAATTTTACCCATATGGAAGTGAGAGTTATAAGGACCATGGACTAATACCAGGATATGGACCAGAGAGGTTGGGAACTCCTAATAAAGAAGACACATACGGGCATGCTTTGTGTGTGTGTGTGTGTGTGTGTGTGTGTGTGTGTGTGTGTGTGTGTAAAATCACAAAGACTGGATATAGATACAAGTTTAAGAATGGAACTACCATTAGCTACCTTCTCTACAAGAATATCAGAATATATGCAAAGAATGAACAAGACATCAACTTGCTGATCCACCCAACATGGACTAGAGTGAAGACACTGGGATAGCATTCAGAGTAGTTGGGACTGTAGCTGGATGGTTAGTAAGAGAAAAAAGATAGTTAGGACTGATGGAGAGGAAATACCAGCAGGTCATATAGTAGACATACAGACCACTTTCAAGTACTTTGGTATCTCACAGTTACATGGGAACCATGAGAGGGAGGAGGCAAGGAAGATACCAACATACAAATATCATCAAAGGATAAGACAGTTACTGAAGAGCCAGCTCAAAGGGAAGGATAAGATCCATACCATCAATACGTATGCCCTGCCAGTCATCAGATAATTTGCAGTTATAATAAGTTGGCCAAAGAATCACAGGGAAGTTGGCAGTGTGAAGACCGAAAATGTATAGAGGTTTCCACCACAAGTCCAATACCTAGAAACAGTACATCAGAAGGAAAGAAGGCAGTCAGAGTCTGGTGAGTGTCAAAGCCACTGTAATGGACGAAACTCATAGCATCCAGCAGTACATTAGTAAGATGACAAACAAAGATGAGCTGCTGAGAGAATGCCTGAGGTAACTGCAGATGTGGGAAGAAGATCAAGCAATGGAAGTGCCATGGCAATGCAAGACCAAGTGTGGGGCTGACGTCGTGGCAAAACGGTATGGATTCACAGGGCTCTGTGAAATCCTGCTGAATTCTCCCTGGCAGGAGGTCCTACAGGGCCAAAGTCATCCCAGAGGGGTGACAAAGACAGAAAGGACACTCCATTGATCACAAAAAGACAGCAACCTTCCTGTTTGATCCAAAGAAGCCCCTCAAACCAGTGAGGAGAAAAAGATGGCCATTATGGCCAGACCGAGACTGTGACAACAGACTGAAAAAAAAAATGAAGAAATGAGATGACAACAGTGTGGATGATCTGAGTGAGACTTTTCCAACTTCTGTTGAGGAATTTTCCCCAGAATACTGTTTTTGTTGTTATTGTTAAAAGTGGGACTCAAGAGAGGAGGAGGTGGAGTTTTTGCCCCCTCCTCAAGAATAATGGCGATTAAGACTTTAAGCTACTTGTTCTGTCCTAGGCCTCCCCCAAAAAGCACTGTCAATTCTGAGTCCCAGCAAAAACCTCTTTTATTACATTAATGTGAATTTATTTCATTCACAGTCAGCCAACAGCTTGACAAACAGTCTTGCAAAGGTATACTAATTAGCTCAGACCTTTACCAATCCTGGAATGCTGCCCGGTAAATAGTTCCACACTCAGTTCTAGCAGGGAAGGGCTGGGTTATACAGACAAATCTCCATGAGGCTGGAGCAAATGAACAAAGGAATGAGTTGTTTCCTGCAAAAGCCCCCTCCCCTTTTGCTTCTCTTTTAATCCTGATTGGAAGGACCATTCATCATCCGTGGCCTTACTCCCACATGGATCCTGAGTTCTTAATTGCGCCTTCCTTTTGGCAGCTCTGTGCATGCACAAACTGGGAACTGGTTTCAGAAACTCCCCCACCTCACTGCTGTTCAAGCCCAAAGGCAGCTGATGATTGCCAGCCTGCCCTGGCCCTATCTCTGCCTCTGATGCAGAGCCCTCATCCAAGCCTTCCTCAGCCTCCAGGAATGGCCCGGGTTCCTCCCCAGCCTCCTCACTATTGTTCAACTCTGCTGCCAGGTCTGCCAGCTGCCACAACACTACTCACAGATTCTGAAAGAAAGAGAAAAGAACTTTTAAAGAGAAATAAAATTTAAAGCTAGAGGAAAGACTGAACTGGTTGCTTTCAGCTACCCAACTGACTTAAAAATATTAGAATATATTTTAAAATGATATTTTGACTTGTGGAACCTTTAAAGAGGGAATTCCAGACATTTTGGAAATTTGGAAGCAAAAGTGGAAAAACAGAGCAAGAGAGACACCTACTAGTGGGGAATAACATCACGAAAGTGAAAGGAATGTAACCTTGAAACTGTTACAGATAAGATTGCTTGAAACAACGTAACACCTGCAAATTGTTTATACTTGACATTTGGCAATTGACAGAGAAAACATTGATGTCGATCCTGAAGATGATATATGCTTAGCCATATTTTATTCGAGCTTACATCTATTTTTTTCCTAGCTTCTTTAGGCTTTCTGCAAAGGAATTTGATGTTATTTCAGGTTTGCCACTCTTTAGCTGGTGAGAGAAGTTATAGAGATAAAGGGGGAATGTTATGTCTAGGTGGCATTCTTTCCCTAAAAACAGAGAAAATGCCTGTAGCTGGAGGAAGGTGGAGTTTGGAATCAGCAGACTGATGGGCTGAGAATTGATTGGAGGGTGTGACTTTTGGGTGGGGGTAGGGGAGTTTCAAACTTTTGCTTTTTACTGGGTGTAATTCTGGAATCTAGTCAGAGTCAGAATTATACCAAGTCCTTCCCAATTTGATATGTTCCTAATAAACAGATGTTTAAAAAAGATGGATGCCTTGGCTTTTTATTCAGGGGACATGTTACTTGGAAGGCTGACAATTGAATCTCTTTAAACATTGAAGCTCTCTGAATCTTTGTGGATTATAAATATGCTTGGCAGTGCGAAATTGGGAGACAGTGTGGATTTGTTTTGAGACCAAGTGGATGATTTTTTGATCTGCCAGGCATTGTAGTTTACAAAATATTGGGGATTTGGTGGGCCCTTGTGGATTGCAAATATTATTTGCTAAAAGAAGAAGAAATAACAGCTGTTTCCAGAGAAACCTTTTGGACTAACCCATAGACTGACCTTGTGGATTACAAAGTAAAGTATTGTGATGCTGGCTTGCAATTGGGAAAAAAACAGGGGGGGGGGGAACTTTTGGTTAATTTCTCCTGGTAATATTCTAAAAAGTGGGGAGAGAAGTTAGCTGGGATTTTGGATTATTGTTGTTTATCTTTTTAAATTCATCAATATAGCCTAAAATGACAAGTATTTCAAGTTAAAAACTTCATCTGCACCATCAGCAGCAGCGTCTAGTCCAGGGCTGTCTAATTCAATTTTATTAAGGGCTGCATCATTGCTGTGGTTGACCTCACGGAGCCGGGTGGGCATAGCCAACCGGATGGACATGGCCAGCTTGATGCCAACTCCCTAAACTGCTAGCATGTTTCCTCTTGTTGTTGGCCTGATCTTTCTTCTTCATATCAGGTAGCTACACCGAAGCTACGATGGCCGGATCTTTCTTCACACTGGGTAGACTGGACCGATCATTCCTCTTCACATTGGGTAGACCAGGATGCTCCCATGGCCTTCAGTTTGACACCCCCAATCTAGACCATCAAGCCAAGGATCAATAGAAAGTACATTACAGCAAGAAAACAATTAATACATTTCAAAAAGAAATGCAGGTGATGTTTTAATCACTACAAGAGGCCATGGCAAAAAATCATAATGAGATGAAAACAGATGGGAGAGATGAAGGAAAAAATACAAAACGTGAATGAAAAAATAAGGAACTTTCAGCAAATGATAGTTTAAAATGCACAAAGGGTTAAGACAATAGAAGAGAAATCTGAACAAGCAGAGAAAAAAAGTGGATGAGGTGAACCAAAAATTGACATAGGCAAATAAGGGGCTAGA